GGCTGCATTTCTTTACCTGTGTGGATTTGTTTGCAGTAGGAGAAAAGGAACCAAAGAGGAAAACCAGAGGAGCAGAACTCAGGGACCTTCTTAGATCTGAAATACGCTAATTTCTGCAATGGCCAGACCCAGTTCGGAACTCCTCCAAATCCTTGCTATAGGAGTCTATCAAGACTTAGAGAATCGAAAATTGGTTTAATTCTTGGAGAGAGAACCAAGATCTGAGTTCGCAGGGGAGAACCCACGCAGATATGGAAGGAGAAAGAGGGGGAAGATTCCATGGCTCTGAACCAAAAATTGGGTTCTTTCTTGTGCAGAGAACCTAGATTTGAGTTTTCAAGGGAGAACCCACACAGATCTGGAAGGAAAAAGAGGAGGAAGAAGAAGGGGCAAAGAGAAAGAGGAGGAAAAAGGTTGGAGGAGGGAAGAGTAGGAAGAATATTGGGCAAGAGGAGAGGGCGGAGGGATGAGAGAGAAGAAGGGAGGAAGTGGAGGACGAATAATATAATAATAAATTATGTGAATTTTTATTTAAATTGAAAAAAATGCCACACGAAAATAAAAAAAATATCATCTCATCACTTTTTGCAAGGTGTGTTTTTGACATAATTATTATTTTTATAAAAATATGATTTTGTGACATTTTAATTTGTCCTCGTTTGTTTTAACTGAGAAAAGATCATTTTGATACTAAAAATAAAAATTTAAAAATAATTTTGATATTTTTTAAAGTTAAAAAATAATTTTGATACTGAAATCAAAAATTAAAGGACTAAAATGATACTTTAACCAATTCTCACGTTCATTGATGTTAGAGGCTGCACTTTAAAGACTCTGTATTAATGTATCCATGTAACATGCTCCTTGTTGGGGTTTTTTTTTTTTTTTGATGGACTTAGTCAATGTATTAGGTGGACGCCACATGTAAGTGGCTTTAGTATACAAAAGGAAGCCAGAAATGATGCTGTAATGTTATGGACTATCAATGAAATTTCTGAGCATATCGGTGTATCAGTTCATGTTCCTTCTTCATTTTGTTCATGTTTCTCAAGAATATCTTACACCCCTTCTCTTGAAGCTTCTGAGCTCACGTTGTTATGAATTTTTGATTTTCTTTTTATTTTTGTTGTTAATTTATTCTGTGTTCCCTCCCTTGCTCATCTCTGTCTCCCACAATTTGGTCTCATTCTGTACAGCTTTTTGTAGAGAGCAGTGGTTATCTTTTGTTGAAAGCCGATCTAATTTTCAATACTCTCTTTCTCCTATTTTCCTTGTCTCTCTGTTTTTCTTTGTAAGATTCTGTGCTTTCTGTTCTCGACTTCTTGTTCTTGTTTGTACAGTCTGTTCTCCACTTCTCGCTTTTTTCCGTTGAAAGTCAGTGGCGGAGCCATTAAGACCGGGGGGGTGGGCATGTCCTCCCCTGAAGTTTTGAAAACTTTTAAAATTGGTCCTTATATTTTATATTTTAGAGATTTTATCCTCAAATTTTATTTTATCTACTTAATTATCCTTAATATTTATGAAAATATTTATCATTAATCTTTTAATAAATCTTGTCATTAATTCAAATGGAATATTTATAGAATAATTAATAATTGTTTAATGCTAATCTATTAAATATAAAAACTGTATTTTAAATTTTAATACTTTTAGCCAAAAAATTGGTTAAAAAACTCTAGACTTCTAATATTTCTCCATCTTGTCCTTCCTATTGTTTTGTTTTTTAAAAAACCTTAGATCATCATCTTTATACTGCCTAAAATTTGTTTTAAATATTTATTTTAGTTACTAATATAATTTAAAGGTTAAATATTAAAAATTCACTTCTAATTCCTAATTTTTTATTGAGTCTAATTTTTTTTTTTACTTTGCCTTTGTTGTACCAATTTTTGATATGTTTTGAAATTTATTACATTTTTTTAGTCATATTTTATTCTTTTTTTCCCTTACAAATATAACTAGATATTTATTCACTAATTATCAAAATTTTCAAAATACAAATTATTTCACATTGAGTATGGTCGAGTTTGATTTTAGACACAGCTTTATAACTTTACAACTATTTATTACTCCTTATGTACGTTTTAGCATTCCTACTTCATAAACTTTATGTTAAATAACTTGATAATTTTATATAATAAAGAAAATGATTGGTACACATTTGGTTTAACATATTTTTTTACTCTCATTTCAATTCAACTATCAAAATATAATATAAATTAATAACAACTGAAAGTTTTGTTAATCTAAGTAAAATATTCAACAAGCATTATATTTAGAAAAAAAAATTCAATTATCAT